CATGATCAGCAATTGGTGGGACCCTAATATCAAAGCCTGCTTCCGCTTCAGATGGCTGCAAATTCATGACAAAACCCTGGCAGACAAAAAGGGAGAGCATTTTTCATCAGAAATGTTGTTATTATGACTGCATAAGTGAGGAACATTATGATCCCAGGTTACGATAATTTCATTGCCAACTTTTGCAAGAATGAATCTCGGCACTTGCCAAATCAAGCTTAACATTTTACGTTCTGCTCTTGTAATATCAAGTGATACATGCACATTTCATCACACGCTTATGTCTGAAGTGATAGTGTAATGTCGTCCGCTAAAATGTGTTGCAAGTGTCTATGAATCAATTGTTTAAGAATTCTCTTTATAAAAAAAAATATTATTTAAGAATTCCAATGAAAATCCTTTCCTACACTATAGCCCCAGAAGATGAGTGTGAGATTTATGAGAAGGCATGAGTTCAATAGCACATACAAGTGATTCTGCTGATTAAGGAGCAAACAACAACATCCAGTTTCATTCATGCGTAGGCGAATCAACAATGCAGTATTGCATATTGTAACAAAATTCCCTTAGGTCCCTCCAAACATTAAATTCTAAACATGAATATTCCTTACTGATGTTTAAGTTTAAGTTCTGAAACTTATGTTAATCCAAGAGAAGAAAGAGTTCTATTAAACCAAGAACTCCATTTAAGCCAGCATCAAGTCATGAAGAAACCAGCACCAAGGTGATTCAACTTACAGTTGGAGTCGGGGTGCCAGCTTTCAGAAACACCATATTAACAGAGATGACCTCGCCTTCAGCCTTCAATCCCGCTTTTACCAAATCAAACTGCGCAGCCCGGAACCGCCTCACACTCTCAATGCTTTTCAAGAGATTCTCCATGGCAGTGTTGTCATAGAGCTTAGCCCCATGACCAGGAGCCCCAGTAGCCTTGATCACCAGCCATATGGGACGCCTCTCCGCATAAAATGCTCTGTAAGTCTCAGTCGGCGACGCCAACCCTGTTTTTTTTTCGAGCACACCCATTTACCAAATAGCAAAATCATTAGAAAACAGCAAACCAACACAACGAAAGCACTAGAACACCCACTTAACCAAACCAATAATAAAACTTAGAAATCACCAATGCAATCAGTTGCCCAAATGACACAAAGGCTAGCAATTACCAACTCAATACCAGATACTGATTAGGAGGCGGAATTATCCAGCTAATAACATCACTAGCCAATAGCAAACCAATAACAAAAACTTAAAAAGCACTACTCTTTTGATTTACCCAGATGATAAAATCACTAGCAATAACAAAAACCGTAAAAAGCACTAGTATTTTCAATTACCCAGATGACAACATGGCTAGCAAATAGTAAGCAAACAACAAATAATTAACAAGAACTAGTAACAGTGAGCAGAATCATAATGTCTGATTAGCTCACCTTCATCAAGCACAATTCCGACGTTCAATCCCTTGAAAACATCAGATTCAGCCAGCTTCACGGCACCGTCGTGTCCCCCAATCTCCTCATCAGGAACAAACGACAAATAAACAGACCTCTTGGGCTTAAACCCAGAAGCCTTGAGCCGTCGAATCGCCTCCAGGTACTGCATCCCGACGCACTTCATGTCCTGGGACCCCCTGGCGTAAACGTCGCCGTTTGAGTCCAAGTTGGCCGAGAAAGGGGGGTGTACCCACTTGTCGTGCTCGGCCGGAACGACGTCGGTGTGGGAATTGAGAAGAACGGAGTGGAGGGAGGGATCGGAGCCGGGCCATTTGAGGAGGACGAGCGGCTTACCGGGGACGAACTCGAGAGTCTGGGATTCAAGGGAGAGTGACTTGGCCTCGGAGAGAATGAAATCCGCTGCTTCACGGTACTGGGGATTTGGGTGGGCCGTGTTGATTCGGAGGTATCGTTGGAACCGCGAGATTATCGGATCGTCGTCGGATTGTATGGCCGTTGATTTTGATGAGAGCAGTAGCAGAGAGATTATGCAGAGATGGAGACGAAGCTCCATTTTTTTTTTTTCCTTTTGTTCTTGTTTAGTGTGTTTCAGTGACTCGGAGTGAATTTATTTATTTATTTATTTTTTTTTTTTGGAAAACAGGAATCACATTTCCTGGGCAAAGATACCCACCAGTACAAAGAAGCCTACACCAGGGCAAGCGACATCAAACAACCAAAAACCAAGCAGCAAAGGGGGTTAAATAGTAAAGATGCTTGAACCGAGTTCGAGCATCCCCTCCCCTGCCGTGAATTAAGAGAGACAAGGCAATTCATTCTTATTTAAAACAAAAATCAACGAAGATGGAGGTCGATTGACCAAGTGACATTACACATCGTAGTGACTCGGAGTGAATAAGTGAGAGAGATCAGAATTTTCTATCGGGAAATTTTATTTGAACCTATCTAACATCTTTCTACACTCAATTTACTCTATTCACCTATATATTTTTTTTAATTAAAGAATTAATATCTCTTTAAACCCAAATTTATTACATAAACTACCATCTCAAATCCAATTCAAAATGTAAAATTATCTTTACGCTCATTCTCTTTATAAAATAACATCTCTAATTGAATGTTTTTTTTCTTCAAAGAGAAGTCCTTTGCCCCCTATAATTGCATCTGCCGTATAGGATTAGCATTTTCATGGCTGCTTTTTTTCTTTCTATTACCACAACCCATCCATGGACTTAGGATCCAAGAGATCATTGCATAGACTTGAATTTGCCAAGAGAATGTTATGCAAGCTCCAATTCAGTCCTTTTTAAATCGAGCATTTTCATGTACTTTTTAAGAAACTTTGAAGTGACATAGGGCTAGATGTTTTGCTGCTATGTTAATAAACAAATAAACAAATAAACAAATTGGAGCTATTTCGAATAAAAAAGGTGCAAGACATGCCACCCGCTAGTTCGTGGTTAACGTTGAGCAATCTTTATTTGCACCAAGAATCAAGTTTTATGTCTTTGCAGTACTAATCAAAAGTCCTTGCACTGGTGTTTTGGAGCGCATACAAACGGTATAGAAAAACAAATACAATATAATATAAAAAGTATGAAATTTAATCCAAAGAAGAAGCAAACAAACAAAATATCCAAAAATCGAGTCATACCTTAGTTAGAGAATTAAAAACTTCAAAATCACCATCCATGAATAGAAAATCTTGTTTTTTTCTATCAGAGCTATTAGGGTTTTAGTCGGAATGAACGTAGAATAAACAAAGAGTGATGTTAGGGGTTAGTTATAGTATGTGGGTCTATTGATAAATTTAATTTTTATTATTAATTTCATTTTGTACTTAATAGTAATTATGCAATAGGGTAAAATGGATAATTAACATTTAAAATTTAAGTTGGGTATAGAAAGAGGTTAGATGAGTTTAAATAAAATTTCTCTTTTCCAAAACAATACTCGCTATTTAAATATGAGTAGGAACTCCTACTCAAAACTCTTAGGGTTGGTTTGGTATTGATGTGCTTTGAAAATAAGCAGCTGTGAAATAAAGCAGCTGAGTGTTTGGTTAACTTTTTTGTAAAAGTGCTTTTGAAAAAAAAAATAGTATTATAGTGTTTGGTAAACTTTATGTAAAACAGATGTGAAAAAAAACCGATTTTTCAAAGCTGAGTTTTGCAGCTTCTTGTTTTTGGTTTTTTTTACCCAAAACTGTGAAAAAAAGCTAAAGCTGAATGTTTACCAAACACAAAAACAGCTCTCAGCTTTTTTTTATGCCAGCTTTTTTCAGAATCACCTCAGTACCAAACCAAACCTTAGTATTTTATTCACAGTGCTTTGTGCTTATGATCAGAACCGTTCATACTATGAATTACATTGTAAATATCATCTCTGCACAAAAATAAATTAAAAATAAGATCGTTTAGTCAATCTATTGTAGCAAATACATAGACGGTTTGTAATGCTTTTACCAATACCGTTCATTTTTTTTAAAACAGTTTGATGACTAAATGACCTTAGTTTTAATTGATTTTTTTGTAGAGACGATCTTTATATGGTGATTTATAATATGAACGGTTATGATTATAAAAATGAAGTTCTATAAATTGACAACGAACAATTTTGAGAAATTTTGAGTAGGAGTTCCTACTTATCTTTAAGTAGCCAAATATTGTTCAATTTTCTATAGAAGATGAAGGCTTCTCAAAGCAGTTTTCTCACAGCAAAAGTAAAAGGAATATTTTCATTAATTACCAAATGAATTTTACACACCTAATATATAGCCTTTGGCTATGTACAAATCCCCATAACAAACTAACCAAATAATAACAGCTTATAACAAACTAGTAACAAACTATAGTCATGATTTGACATCTTCATCTTTACACCCCCTCAAGCCAAACTGGGAAGAATTTAAGGTTCCAAGTGAAAGCTTGGTATGTAGAAACAGAAACCTTTTCTTGGACATACTTTTAGTGTGTATATCAGCAATTTGATCCTAACTGCAGACATATTGCACTTGAACTAAACTGGCAACAACCAATTCTCGAATGTATTGATAATCTATTTCAACATGCTTAGTGCAGGCATGGAAAACTGTCAACAACAAAATACGTTAATAACACAATACAATGGAATGGTATGACAATATCCACCAGACAATTTCCTAAATCAAGGACCTTTCTATTCGTTTACCATAAATAGACATCCATCCATTACGGCACAAAATCTCCAAAAAGTTACAAAAAAGTTATAGACTTCAACCCCCATCAATTATTTTGACCAAAAAAAAAAATTCCCATCAATTATCGTATTCATTCACAAATAACATCCCATATCTCACAACACAAAATCCAATCTTTAGCCACCTTTTTCTGAGCACCAAAAACATTAAAAAAAATTAAAAAAAACAGACCGCACCGCTTCAAAATCCCAGATACACCCTCAAGACACTCTTGCATCTTCAGTCGTCGTTCCGTAATTTCCTCCAACTTGAGTGGCAAGTTACTACCCCTCTTTCAAATACTCTCCCACCACACCACACCCACACACCCACACACCCACACACCACAAACCCCTCCAAAACTCCTCCCATTTCCCAAATTCCCCAATCCCTACGTTTCAAGCTCTCCTCCCTTCCTCCCCAGATTTTTCCAAAAATGGAGGACTACATGCGCGGCTGCACGCGGAAGCTGGCGCTCTGGTACACCCGCACCTTCAAGCCCATCATGACCCACGACGAGCTCGAGCCGATCATGGCGACCCTCGGCTTCGTGGGGCTTCCGCCGTCGTCGTCGGCGGCGGCGACGAAGGAGTACGTGTTCTCCTCAGCCGGAGGTTGGCGGAGCAAGTGGGCTCCCCCCGCGGAGGCGCCGCTACCGAGGCCGAGGCTGCCGTACCCGAGAATCGACGGGCTTCATATCTATACGTACCGGGCGTTTATTGACGCCGTTAACTTTTACCTCAGGATGAGCGACATCTCCGATCTCTTCCATGTAAGGTGAGTGAAGTGCCGTTTCTTTTGTTTACTCTTCCCGATTTTCTATTTTAATTAATTAATTAAATTAATTGTATTTTATTTTTTCCTTGTTTTTCGCTGATTTTATTTTTGCTGGGTTTGTGCAGTGCATGAGTGTTTTTTTTGTTTGCGAGTGTTTGTGGGTGTGTGACGTTGATAGATAGGATTTGGGCTTCTTTGTAATTTTGTGCGGCGAAAAACATGTGGGGGCAATTTTTGACCAAGTCCTCCAAAAATTTGTTGAAAAAATATATACAACCATGCTTCTCTCAAAAGCAGCTGATGCTGAAAAACAAATCATAAATCATAAATAGACACGTGTTTAATAATTGAAATTGGAATATAACTAGACACTCATTTGTGATTGTGTTTTAGTAGCACCAAGCCGGCCTAAGGGTAGCCGAGGCAGTGGCCCGCCTAAGGCTCTCACATCGGAGGGTCCCCAATTTTTTTTTTTAAATATCAGAAAATAAAATCATTGGCAATTGAAAATGAATTGGTTGAAAAACTGGATTACGTAAATTCAGTTATACATTTCTGTCTAAAAATGTAAGGCGTGTAGTATTTAAGTGGTGTTTATACATTTTAATTTGTAGAGAGGTTTAACAAAATACTTTCGATACTATTTACTTTTAACAAAAAATCACATTTATAAATACTATTCACTATATCTTTAAAGAGGGTTTTTCATTAAAAGAGAAGTTTTTTTGGACTTTTTGTTAGTTTTTCTTAATTTTTAATGATATTTGATGTAGAAATAAACTTTTTCATGTATCTTGCCAATTTATTTTTATTTATTTATTATTAATATTATTATTATTATTTTACATATCAATGTACAAAAGGTCGGAGATCAGAGAATATTAGGATCCCACTTCAAAAGCTCGCTTAAGGCCCCAAGTTCTCAGGGCCAGCCGTGAGCATCACTTGATAAAAAATATATGTTTAAATAACTAGAAACTTATACATGATTTTATTGAAGTTATGGTATGATAAGATTGATATATCAAACAACGGGTTGTGTTTAGCTACTTGTTTGATCTTATCAAGTAATGCTGTTTTTAGAATGACCATGTGTTGCGTCACTCCTTTGATACGTATGTGAGTTTCATTTGTTTCAATCCTACGAAGGACGTGATGCAATGTATGCTCGGTTGAGATGGTGCAAAATGGTTTTCCTTGGTTGCCAATAAAAATGATAAAATGTTCGATTTGAAATGTTGTGAATAAAGAGGGGTACGAAAATTGCGGTCTATTTGATTAATAATCATATTGATAGTAATCAAGTAGTCGTGTGCACATGTCTCATTTTTTATACAAATGATATTATGGAAGGGGAATTAAACATAGGAACTCTGGAGTAGGTTTAAACGTTCTTAATTACTTGCGTTATGAGTTCCTTCCGTATAATATATGTAACTTAATAAAAAATAACAAATAAGATAAGAAATAATGTGATTTATATGTTTACAAAACTGTTTTCTTATTCAATAATTTAATTATAATGTCTGAAATAAACTGCAGATTATGGACTTAATTAATCTTCGCGAAGTCTACAATTGATGTATTTAACAGCTTTATATTCCTGCATTTTTGCCGATTTCATTGTCATAAAGTGCCAGATAAGATATTTATCTGAAAAGTATAAACTGAGGTTTTGATTCTACTTGTCTTGTACATTGCAGAGGCATGCCGCTCCATGATCTCCATCGAATTAGCGACAGAAACCGGAAGTGGCGCAAAATGGAAGAAGATGACAGTGTGTTTGTTTACAGAGAAGGAACACTAGATCAGGCAACATTCAATCTGTATCACTCTACTAATAAGAACATCAGCAACAGCACTGCCAGTAATGGTAGCAGCGGCAGTACCGTTACCAGCGACAATTCTATTGTCATTCGGGAGAAAGGCAACAACACCCCTGTCAGCTGCATTGTTCCGTTGAAAGATATCATAGTGTGAGCCTCATACTCCATCAACATCAAGGTTGTAACTTGGGAAACACGGAAACGCAGAAAACCTCACAGTGATATTCATTTTATAAACCCAAAAGTTTTGCTCCCTAGTCGCTCCTTTTTTGTGTGCACCCAATTTTCGGCTTGTTTTTTCTTTGGTTTTAAAGGGTTTAGGTCCAAAGAAGTGATTATTAGGACTGTCGCGTTTAGGTATAAAGAAGTGATTATTAGGACTGTCGCGTGTGACAGCTTCTCAACGGGTGAGGTCAACATTCATGGGTCTCACTCACAATGAGGAGCTGCTGTATCCGGCAACGATGTATAGAAAATTTCTCCTCCAGATGGGGAGGAAGAGGGTCTCGCGATCGAAGAATCGTATCTGAGTTAGTCGTTGGATACCAACTCAAAGACAATTCTCTGTTCGTCATAAGCAATACTTGTGAGTCTAGACAGTTCCCGGGTGTCCATAGAATCACATTTTCAATGTTTGAGCTCCATTGGAGCCTAGAGAATATAGAAGTGGGCTTTAATGCAACGGGCTTACGGAATGAGGCCTGCAACATGATAAAGAGGGCAATCGTCTTGTGGGTTTCACATGGCGGCTTGATGAAATAGCAAGTTAGCGACTAATTCAAGCCATGTCAAGGAGAACAATTTTTATGGTATAAGTTCACTGTCATCGTGATCGTTTGTGTTAATAATATGATGTTATATGTATATTTTTTGTTTAAAATAATATACAATTGCATGATTTGCAAAAAGTATATTTGCACAAAAATCAGTCTAACTTTCACAATGTTATGCCAACTTGTGTAAAAACGAGTCCAAAATTGAGTCCATGTTTCACATGTGTAAGTAACTTGGCCCGGACCACTTAAGAGTTGTCTTAACACTTGCTATTTTGTTAATGGTCTACAGTTGTGAAGCCAATGATCCATAACTCCTAAATCTATCTAACCCTAAGAAGTAAAACAAGGATCAAACTTCTTCTTTTAAAATATTTGTTGGTATTGGCTTTGTTAGATGTAATTCCTTTGTATTGGAAACACATAGAGATTGTTTTGTTATATGACATATGATTGACAACGAAAATGTTTGACCCTTAGGAATCCAATCATATTAAACGAATCCAAATGAGCCGGTTCTGCTATTAAAATACATAAATTCGGACCAGCTCAAACTTGTTTACAAAATAAACAAGTCGAGTCTGAATTCACCAAAAATGAACCCGACTCAACCTGCGCCCCCTCTAATACAATGTCATGTATAAGTCTGTATATACATATCTAATAATATAGTGTCAAGCATAAATCTCTATACATATTATTTTAGAACACAACGTCGATGTAAACACGTTTCACATAAATTGTTCTCCATTAAACACAATTTTAAAAAATGGATCAATTGTTGGATTCGTTATCTTTATTACTATTACCGAATCAAATGACCGTTAAGGGATGAATTCTCTCTTTCGAATCATTAAATCACATAAAGGATAAATTCACTCTTAGGAATCCTAACCCTTCATTTGATTTTGGAAAACAAATTAAAAGAATCTTTGGAATTTGTTTTTCATTTTTATAAATACTTGTTTCAATGTTTATGAATAAGTGTAACTTGATGTCTTACCTTTCACTAGTACTTCCGTTTAGTGGTATGCTCTAGACATATTCTTGCACTTTTCTTTTTCCATTTTTTTTTTTTTGGATTTGTGATTGTTGGACATTCTGTTTCGTTCATGTTTAACTTCAGAACATTATTATTGTTTCTTTAGCGTTTGTATATTCCTTATGATTGTTGTTTGTTGTATGACTTTTGGAATACATGTTTCCCTTATGTTCTTGCATATTTATATATTCATGGCTTTCGTCACTTTCGAGTGTCGGCCATCATGTGTCATCCAAGTGTCATTTGGATATTTGGGTTGGGGCGTGTCAACGAGTTTGACACTATACGATCTGTTAAGATAACGAGTATAACACGAACACAACAAACACGACCTGTTTGACTGGTCTAAATACAATGTAGGTATGGGCATACGAGTCTTTAGACTCGTGGACCCAGGCTATATTGTTCGGTTGTAAAAACGAGTCCAAAATTGAGTCCATATTTATGTGCAGGTAGCTCGCCCCGGACTGTTTAAGGATTGTCTTAATACTTGTCATTTTTATTAGTGGTGCACAATGAAGCCCATAATCCATAACTCTATATCTATTTAACCCTAAGAAGTAAAACAATGAAACTTGTTTCTTTAGAACATTTATTGGTATTGGATATGTTAGACATAATTTGTTCGTAAAGGAAACACATAGAAATTTTTTCATGTAGTTGTTTTGCTATGTGACATATGATTAAAAACGAAAACATTGGACTCATAAGAATCATATTGTATCAAATGGATCCAAATGAGCCGTTTTCACTAATAAAAATGCATAAACCTGAATTGGCTTGGACTCATCAAAAATAAAAATTTTGGATCCACCAAAAATGAATCTGACTCAACCCACGCCCACCCGCAATATAGTGTCGTGTATAAGTTTATATATACACATCTAATAGTACAGTGTCAAATACAAATTTCTATACATATTGCTTTAGAAACCAATATTGATGTAAACACGTTTCACATAAATTGTTCTCATAGACCTTTCATCTGATTTTGAAAAACAAATTAAAAGAATCTTTGGAATTTGTTTTTCATTTTTATAAAGGAAACTATTATTAGTACTTCAAAAATCTCATTCTACACTCCTTATAAATGTATTTTTCTTTCTAATTATAAAAAGTTTAGAATGCGAAATGAAAATTTTAAAGTACTAATAACAATTTCCTTTATAAACATTTGTTTCAATGCTTTCCGTATCTGTGTCTGCCACCAAGAGTGAGGAGCCAAATGCTGGCGCCAAAGCTTCCTTTCGAGTCTCAATTCCCCGCTTAAAAAGCACAAGAAAGTAAACTAAAGCTTCCATCTTTTCCATGGAATAGGGTCCAAAACCCTATTGACTCATTGACCATCATACCCCTCTATCTTTCTCCCTCGCAGAATGTGCCCCCAATGTGAACTGTGGACGCCATTGTAGGCTGCTATTTGTCCTTTATCTCAGCAGGGAGATTCTGGTCATTTCGCCCCAGAAAGAGGAAAGCTTTCTTGTTGCTTCTTCGTCCTTCTTCAATCCAGTTGCATCAAAAGGAGATGAAAAGTAAAAGCAACCCATTTGATTTCAAGTACAAGCCATTGCTTCCCGTAGATTATTAGGTCTCGTTTTCTCAAATGGGAGGAGCCCTTCAACTTCAAGCAGCTGCATTTCTCTTCTGGGTTTTACTGTGCGGCAGCATTGCTGCTGCCCAGGATGAAGAAGAATGGAAGACGGCCACTGCAACATATTCCAACGAAACTGATGGGTCCATCATTACTGGTACTTTCCTTGTTTCTGCTGCAAAAAAGTTTCAATCTTTTCTAATGTTTTACTGATTAATTTTGCTCCATGTTTACTAGAAGAATGATGTCGATGTAGCGGTATTCTAAATCAATCAAGCACTGTTGTGCCGAAAGTTCAAATACATGACCTTGCTTGATTGACTTGAGATACCGCTATAATGGCATCCTAATTGTTGAGTTACAGGAAAGTTTTTCTCCGTATTTGCAGTCTTTCAAGGTCTTTTGCATCATTACTGGTACTCTTCTTGCTTCTGGAGCAAAAAGGTTGTAAACTTTTCGAGTTTTAGACTGCATAAGACACCTGAAAACTGCTTCGTGAAATTGCTTGAGCTTACCTGAAAACTGTTTTTATTGGGCGTTATTGAAATGTAAATTAATCTAAGTACTTTCAAACTTGCCGAGGTGCCCGCTCGGCAACGGAACTATGCTTCTGGGGCAAAAAAGTTGCAAACTTTACACGTTTTTGATTGAATAATACTACATGTTTCTGAGAAGAATGTCCCTGCAACCGGGATGCCAGTACATTATCCCTGGCCAATAACACAAATTTCGTGTAAACTAACTTTCTGCAGTGCTTGATTGACTTGTGAAATCGCCACACTGGCATCCCAGTTATAGGTAAGTTTTTGTTTCTCTCTGGATTTAGAGTTTTTCAATGTCTTTTTTTTTTTATTTGTTGCAGAAGGTGCGTGTGGTTATGGTGACCTTCACAGGATCAGCTATGGGAAGCACAGTGCTGGGCTGAGTGGCATTTTGTTCAACAAAGGGAGTACCTGCGGCGCTTGTTACGAACTGAGATGTGTTGACCACATCTTGTGGTGCCTGCAAGGGAGCCCCTCTGTTATTCTCACTGCTACAGATTTCTGCCCTCCGAATTTCGGGCTCTCAAAAGATTATGGTGGCTGGTGCAATTTCCCCAATGAACACTTTGAGATGTCTGAGGCAGCATTTGGTGAAATTGCAAAGAAAAAAGCCGATATTGTGCCAGTTCAATATAGGAGGTAATGGAGAAAGTTAGAATTTTTCAAGGAATTGCTATTTGTACTCCAAAAAGGGCATCCATGATCCAACTGCACTTATAAAGCATAAGCAAAAATTGTACTTTGATCAGTGCAAGATGTCTTTTTTGGAGTGCTGATAATGGCGCTTTTATTCCTTGGATTCTGATTGCGATATCTTGCACTAAGCAAGAAGCTCTGTGACTTTTTGTGTGCAGGGTGAAGTGTGAGAGAATTGGAGGGATAAGGTTCCTGGTGGGTGGGAGTTCTCACTTCTACCAAGTCCTGATCACCAATGTAGGTTCAGATGGGGAGGTTCTTGCTGTGAAAGTGAAGGGTTCAAGGACCGGGTGGATACCGATGGCCAGGAACTGGGGACAGAACTGGCAGAGCAATGTCAATCTTAAAGGGCAGCCTCTTTCGTTCGAGGTAACTGTAAGTAGTGGAAGAACACTAACATCTTACAATGTTGCTCCAGCAAACTGGCAGTTTGGCCAGACATTTGAAGGGAAACAGTTCTGAAACAGAACATAGATCAACTCATGGTCATGTGTCCCTTTGTCACTTCAGTTTTTTCTGCTTTCCTATATAAAGTTTAGGTTTGTGGTCAAAAAGAAGAAGGGAAAATTGTAGGAGAAAGTTGAAAAAATGGGAATACGAGGTCCCAGTTTTGTCTTTAAGGATATGATGCGTAGAAAGTGTAGTACTTGATGGAACATGTAATTATTTAAAAGTAAAGTTATGCCCCTCGATTCTTCGGTATAATCCGACTTTAGTGGTTATATTTGCTTTATTTTTTTAGTTGTTTTCAGAGATGGATTACCAATTAACATGTGAAAATGCAGAGTATTAGAAAGGGAAGGAAAATAAGCAGTAAAAGTAAAACGAAAGGAAATATGAGACGGGTTGAGAAATATTAGAGATAACAGAGGAATTCAGAGAAAATTAAGTCATTCATATGTACTGAAGCTTGAGTGACTTACACAATGCAAACACTTACAGACATTAGTAATAGCAGGCACTTCCGTTGCATTAGCCATGGTCTTCAAATTTCTATACGCTTGAATTATCTTGCAGTTCTCTAAATTTCAGTTCGAGCTTCTGCTGTTGCACCCTTATTTCTAGTTTGTCTAGCACTTTCTGTTCTACTGTCATTAAATCCGTCCAGCTAACCAACTGTGCAGCATAAGTCTTATGTTCTTGCTCGGGAAAGTACTTACTTTAATATGCGAACACCCCGACATAGGCAACTAATGCAATAGCACCATGTCAGTATGCAAACTATTTACTAAGAAGTGCTAAAGCAATCCATTATACCGATCATAAAACTGAAAAGTAGGGAGAAAAAATGAGTTTTGGAATGCTTATGTTCCAAGGTATATGTTATTCTGTACTACTGAAACTCAGAGTGAAAAATGAGTGAAAACATGCAGGTAATTGCTTGCTTCTCCAAACAAAGTCCTACAAGGAACTAACTTGATCTCAACGGTAATCACATGAAATGCAACTAGAGTTTCTTACATATTTCCTGACCGAAGACATCATATGATCTATCCAACAGTCACTGATGGTTCACTGTCATTTCTTTATTCTCCTTTACAAACCCCAGAGAGTCCCCATAAATCTTTTAAGCATCCTGCCTTACAATACCCGAACGACCTGTCTCTCCCATCGACTCTAGACCATTAATGAGTATTCTAAAGGATGACTATCGAGTTCACACCCCGCCTCTTTCATCAAGCAATGACACTCGAACGCAGGTTTAGGGAGGTTAAAACTTATCAATGTAAATTAGTTTCAGGCTGTAAATTAGTTTCCTTTTTCAAGTACAAGCATAGAAGTTCAACTTGTTCAAACAATCCATTGCTAGCAATTAATTTAATCACATCGGAATACAGTGAAACCTGTGGCCTGTAGCAATGTTCCTTATGAACGTCTTCGAAGACCTGTATCAAACAACGAAGCAATGATATAACAGTAACTCCTATCAAATGACGAAGCAATGATATAACAGTAAGTCCTATCAAATTTATTGACATTGTTGATTATCTAGGTTATAGAATGGTTCTTTAGAGCTGCAGTGTTACGTTGTAAAGTATTAAACTTTAGTCTTAAAACGTAAAATGAAGCAGTTAACCAGGGCTAGAAACATAAAGTCTAAGCTCTAAATGATGATTCTACATATTAAAACAATCAACCATGTTGATATATATTAAATAGGATCAAAGTTGAAGAATTTGGGGAGAACTGAGGTTCTCTCAACGCATCATGTCGACATGTTGTATAGAGCCAGACTGGCTTATTGGAATTCTTATATAAATGGGATTAGAATTGAAGATTACCCAATTCAACATTCAAATTAAGTTTATGGAAAAACAAACTGAAAACAAAACTGAACTGCAAGTAAGACTTCAAAAGCAAACCTTGAGAGCCAAGAAGCATTTGTCATGGCGGAGGAGGTTGCGGAGGACGGCCATCATATTGAGCTTCAGCCACCGCCAGAACTCGGGGTCGAAAACATGGTTTGAAAAGCTCTGGTTTTCTGGGCTCTCTCCAACGCCTGCACGGTCTGGATGGCTTAGATGCTGAGGAACCTCCCCTTCTGCAATGGCCTCGGGTTGTTGCTTCTGTCTCTCATTGTAAAGGTGGATTTCAATCTCTTGGAATTTGAGGGTTGCACAGATGCAGGGTGAGGATCTGTGGAGAGGGTTAGGCTTTTGGGGAGAGAGGTGAAGAGGGAGAGAGCCAGAGGGGTCGAGTTTATTGATCACTTTTAAACAAGTACTGTGCCTTGTTATTTGTCTGTGTTAACAGACAACGGGACTTTCTGCATTTGGGATTCACACGGGTTCATTTTGATGGATTCCAATGTAAAAGGTCTCTTTTAAGTATGTCTGTAACGGATGGATGACTTGACATAACTATCCGCATATTTACGGTTGAAGGAAGGTCGTTAGCAACAAATGGGTTACAAGTAGCATAAGAATTGGTGCTGCACGTCCATTTGGAACGCAAAAGCAATAACTCGGTGTGAGAAAAAAATGAGAATAATATCAATTTCTTGCAAATCCTTCCTTACAAATAAACATGTCCTTCGAAGAATTTCATTCTCCAATTTCACACTCTCGACTTCAAATCTCAACATTCAACCTTGACTATAACTACAAAACTACGTAGAGAACCAAGACAAGCCATTGATACAAATTTAAAAACAACAGATATAAAACAGAAACAGAATTACAAAGATTTCATAGACTAAACAGAGAATCAAAGCTTAAAAGAAGCAGCTTTTTGTAAGATCAAGTTTGTGCTTTTGTATTCCACACCGTGCTTTTCTCAACAAACAAATGAATCCAGATGAAATAGTACTTCTACCTTGTAAACAGGTGAATAAAGCAGCTTCTTGCTTTCCCTTTTGCATGTATGAGGAACTTGTTCCACTTGTGCCTTATATAAGAGCCAACAATCTTGCTTCCACTTGCAACAAACGCATCACAAACTCCTCGGCAATTACAGAAACCAAGTTGCTCGTGATGGCGTTGGAAAAATTCATATTCATCGTAGCACAATTGTGTGAGCGAAGACCTTAATGTCGGTGCTGCATTCTGAGGCGAGCTGCCTTGCCTTTCATGAATTAGTACCCCTGGGAGCTCTGGTAAAGATTGCAGCCTCTTGCAGTTGGTTAAGCGTAGGACAGACAGCTGAGAAGCTTGTTTGATGCTTGCAGGTATGCTCCGGATCATGGTTCCACTTAGGTCCAAATCTCGTAACGAGGTTAAGCAAACGAGGTGATCAGGGATTTCTAATATACCGCAGTAACTGAGGTTCAGTTCTTCCAAAGAGCGCAAACCTACCGAGAAGGGAGGCAACATTTTAAGCTTCAAACAACCACCAAACGTGAGAGTTTGAAGTGAGTTTAAGTTGTAGATGCTATTCGGGACAGACTTAAGGTTTCTGCACTGGTAGAGCTGTAATGTCTGAAGCCCAATTAGATTTTTAATCGACAAGGGTAGCTCTTTAATCATGGTTTTTGATAAACAGAGAAAGTTAAGGTGCTCCATAGGCTCCAATATTTCTGGGAAGTATTCAAATTTTGAGCAACTGGTGAGGTTAAGTCTCTCAAGAGAATTCAACTTACAAATGCTCGTTGGGAGATGAATGAGCCTTTTGCAACTTTCCAGATCAATTTTCTGGAGACAAGAGAGATGCTCAATAGATGAGGGCAGTTCTTCTATTGCTGTCTCTGTCAACTCTAACTCTGTCATATTCCGAGGAAGCTCCCAAAACTTGCCGAGAGACGAGCAGCCCCATAAACGCAAATCCTGTAACTTCAACTCACAACTGCCCCTTGGAAGATTCTTAAGGTTTTCACACCATTGAATATGCAACGAAGAAATTTTTTCGTTAGACCAAACTGACGAAGGCAATTCCTCTATCATGGTTCTCCTTAAATCTAAGAATTCGATATTTCCTGGCATCTCCGGAAGATATTTGAGATTCGAACAGTGTCCCAGGTTAAGATCAGTAAGCTTGTCCAGATACTGAAAATACGAAGGAATTTCAACCAAACTTGTACATCCCATAAGATTTATATGCTCGATTTTCATACTTTGAGAGAGATCTGGAACTTCAGTCAGATGTATGGAGTAACTAAGATCCATCACCTTTAAGTTTCCAAGCTTCTGTAACAAATTAAGGAGAAATGGCAAGCATTAACAACTAACCCTGTAACTTTCCGCATCACAGTTTCTACAATAACTAAAATAAGCACATATCTACATATATATATTTATAATTTTATATGTTGACGTGTATATACCTTGGCTTCACTCCAAGACTCCAAATTGCTGTAGGACATTTGAAACTCGACGAGATTTTCTGGAGAAAATTTTGATGGCAAAGATTTCAAAGGATATTTCACCCAACAAAGATAACTAAGAGAATTGGGAAGAGAAACGCTTAAATTTTCCCAGTCATTGTCAAAGCTAGAATTATCAACAATGAGCAATCTTAGGTTATACATCTTTTCGAAGTGTGCACGATTTATAACAAATGCGTTTTACCTTGGTATCTATTCACAGAAAGTTCATTATTTTTCTTAAGAGAGTGAATGAATTCCACCAAAAAGAAAGCAAATGATTATGGCTCTTACCGTATTATTTTTCAGTACATGATAGACATCTTCCGCAGTGAACAACCTACTCCTTTTCCCGGGCTCTTCAATGCATTGTTCGCAGACAATTTCCCTCCCCATCTCTTGTTGCAGAACATGCATCTCTATGAGCATGCTGTCTGAAATCGATATGAGAGACTTATTGCTGAGAACTCTAATTCCCATTGCACGGGAACCACTAGCCTCAGACATCCTTTTTACAATGTACATAGTTTCCAATTTACCAAAACATGCTATATCAAGAAATATCTCCTTCTCGTTTTCTCCTAATCCATCGTAACTTAGTTTCAACACTTTCTGAATGTTTTTGCTTAGGAATTTTTTATATGTGATCAATTCATCCAGACAAGCTTCTTTGCTCTCACAGCAAACGAATGACGAACCCAAAATTTTAAGAGCCAACGGATTGCCTCCGGCATAATCTACCACCTTTTCTACCAACTCTGTATAATCTGTTCTAGGAGTGTTATTTTTGAAAGTATTCAAATGAAAGAGGTGAAGAGCTTCCTCGCGTTTAAACGCGTTAACTCTGTATATCTTATCATCTTCAACAATTTTCTTAAGCAGGCTCCTATCTCTAGTTGTTATAATGATTCTACTTCCGGGACCATATCGAGCATGATATCCAGCTAGAACTTCTATTTGGATTGAGTCGCTCACATCATCAAGAACAATGAGGACCTTTGTGCGGCTGAGCCTTTCTCGTAGAAAAGTTGATCCAATAGATGGAGTCTCGATATCTAGATTCTTATCGTCTGATATCTTACGAAGAAGTGTATTTCGCAAGTGAATTAGTCCATCTTTTTCCTCTGATTTCATCCTGACATTTGCAACAAAACAAGCAACTTCGAATTTAGATGAGAGTCGATGAAATATGGCATCAGCAAGGGCGGTCTTGCCAATACCACCCATGCCCCAAATACCTACACTGCAAACGTCGAGTGAATCAATGCATAATAATGATTCAATTTCCTCGATGCGGCTTTCAATTCCAACGAAGCCCGTTAAATCACTTGATGCTTCGCGATTCAATTTGGTCAAAATATCTTTGACAACTTTCTGAACTAAATCAGACTCTGGCCTGGCATATATCATTACGAGGATAACCGATAGTTAATTAGTACTTATACTTGAACTGATATTATCATGAATCAAATGATCACATATAAATTTTAGGAAGACTTTGTATGCAGTCCCTAGGTTGGTTTTTAGTTTTTTTATAAAGTCCGTATGTAGGTTATTATATTTTTTTAAAGATTTTGGATGCGGTCCCTATATAGGTTATTATATTTTTTAAATTACAATTTGAATTTTGTAGTTGTAGTTGTTTATATTAATGAGATTTTAAATTATACTCTCCAATATATTGTACATATATATAAACATGGTTACAACTTACACTCATCAAAATTAACTAAAAATTGTTGTATCCAAACATGGGTACATTAAGCTTGACATGGACATATTCTCAAATGAATGAAAAAGAATATACCCATATACGTTTAAAAATGAATTAGAAAAAAAAAATTTGAACGTACTATTTTATATAAAAAATGGTACATTTTATATTAACAAATAATACATTTTACTTTGGTATATTTAAGAATGGTACATTTAAGATTAAAATTGAATAAATTATATGAATGGGTACATTTAAGATTGAAAAATGAAAAATATTTTTATAAAAAATTAATGTGTACAAGATTATTTTAATCTTTTTTTTTTATTATTGTGGAAATGTTTTGGATTAAAAATTAATTAGGCATTTAATAAAGGTGTGAGTATTAAAACAATAAATAAATTACTAATTTTTATTTTAAAAAAATATGTAATTGACATTTAAATTCACTAATACATTAATAATAGGGATTTCGATCAAAATTTGAAAACTAGTAATACCTCTGTCAATGAACACTAGTATATGCCCACACACAAAGTGTATGAATTTTTTTACTTTAGTTATTAAAATTGAAGGAGAGAGGAAGAGAGTGAGAGCAAACGTGGAGTGAAGAGGGAGGGAGGGAGGTTGTTTTTTATTTTTTATTTGTTAAATTAAAAATGATAAACTTACATGTAGGTGAGGTTTAAAAAAATTAACAAAAATTTTGTTTTATGAAATTACATTATTGTCCTTAACTTTTTTTATTGTGATAAAAGATAAAAATGTCTTTTCACTTTCTTTTGGTTGACAAAAAGGTTTCATTAATCTGGTTTTAGATTAGTAGCAAAAAATAGATTTAAGATTAAATATTGAAAAAATTATATGAATGGATTCATTTTTTAATCGAAAAATTATATGAATGGGTATAATTAAAAAGAGAAAAATATTTTATAAAAAATTAATGAGTACAAGATTATTTTAATCTTATTTTTTCTATTGTGGAAATAATTTAAATTGAAAATTAATTAGGTATTTAATAAAGGTGTGAGTATTAAAATCCTAACTACTAATTTTTATCTAAAAAATTTATGTAACTGACATTTAAATTCACTAATACATTACTAATAGGGATTTCAATCAAAATTTGAAAACTAATAAGACTTCTATCTATAAACATTAGTAGCAAGGGATGGAACACTAATTTTACCTAAATTTTAATACAAGCTTTAGAGTTAGTTGCTTACCCGGCTTTGTTTGAATTATCAAACCCAGATATTCTGGCTGCTTCTCTCAAAGCATCCCTCCACTTGTGCACCTTGTCCAAACTGTCCTTGAAACGTTGTTCGAGTTGAGCAAATGCATCTGCATAAGTCCCCTGCTGCTTTCGCACATCTGTTGGATCGATGTCGTAAAAAATGGGTATAACAACCTGCCCCTTACTTTCCTTGCATCGCAAGATATGAGCAAGTTCATCGAGACACCAAGTGGAAGAAGCATAGTTTTTTGAGAAAATGATTACCGAAAGCTTTGATTTTTCAATTGCCTCAACAAGGGCAGGTGCAATTTTTCCTCCTCTCTCGAGCTGGTAATCTTTGTAAGCTTCGATTTTTTTCCCGCACAAAGCGGCATAAAGATGGCTAGTAAAGTTATTGCGGGTGTCCTCGCCTCTGAAACTCAGAAACACATCATGTTTTTCTTGAGGGGAGATGGTAGCATCAGAACACAAAGAAGAAGAAGAAGAAGCCATGAAAGTGTAGCAGCACAAGATTGAGCGGTTGCAGAGACTGAATCAGACCATATACACACACACGCGCGTATGTATATATATATATGTATATATATATATATGACTAAATCAGACCATACACACACACGCATATATATATATATATATATATATATATAGCAACTATCGTTGACCACAAGATGATATGCACAAAGTTTCAAAGGCATGACATTACCCGGTAGACAGTAAACAGACCATACTCACACACAAACGCATGAAATTACCCAGTAGACAGTAAACAGACCATACGCACGCATGCACGCACGCGCTCGCGCGTGTCTATATATAGCAACTGTCGTTGACCCCAAGATGATGCACAAAGTTCCAAGGGCATGAAATTACCTGGTAACTTTCTGACAGTAAACACTAAAAAATTCAGCAGCACGGCCGGCAAAGGGCGTTGAGGAAGAAAAAAAGATGCAATCGCACGTAGCTTCAAATTTGAAGGAACCTTTAAATTTTTGTCATATGACATCATGTAATAATATTATATATTTTATAAAATTGTTTTTGTTAACACTTTAAATTGCATTGTGCACTTCTTATAAGAGTATTTTTTTTCTTTCTTTCTAAATATAAAAACTTGGAGTACAAAAAGATTTTTCGAGTGTCAATAATAACACCTTGAAAAACGAAAGTTTCTTAATTTTATAATATAACAACGTTATATAGTCAAGTGAAATTTAAAGTTAGAGGTCTGATTTTTTAATTTTTTTTGGCATGTTTGACTGTTTAAGATAAAACTGCTTTTGATTATTTAATGAAGATTATGTTTGTAGCTATTTTTACTCATCATTAAGGACATTTGTATACACACACGTATATGGTCTGATTTAGTCATATATACATATATATATATATATAGCAACTGTCGTTGACCACAAGATGATATGCACAAAGTTCCAAAGACATGAAATTACCCGGTAGACAGTAAACAGACCATACGCACACACACGCATGAAATTACCCGGTGGACAGTAAACAGACCATACGCACACACACGCATGAAATTACCCGGTGGACAGTAAACATACCATACACACGCACGCACGCGCGTGACAGTAAGACCATACGCACGCACGCACGCGCGTGTATATATATATATATAGCAACTGTCGTTGACTACAAGAAGATGATATGCACAAAGTTCCAAGGGCATGAAATTACCAGGTAACTTTCTGACAGTAAACACTAAAAAATTCAGCAGCATGGACTGCAGAAGCCATTGAGGGAGAGTGAAAAGTTCAGTCGCACATAGCTTCAAATTTGAAGGAGCTCCTAAATTTTTGTCATCTGACATCATGTAATAATGTTATATATTTATAAAATTGTTTTTGTTAGCACTTTAAACCGTATTGTGCACTTCTTATAAAAGTAATTTTTTTTCTAAACATAAAAACTTGGAATACAATGAGATTTTTTGAGTGTCAATAATAACACCTTGAAAAGAGACAGTTTCTTAATTGTATAATATAACAACGTTATATAGTCAAGTGAACTTTAAAGTTAGAGGTCTGATTTTTTTTTTCTTTTCATATTTGGCTGTTTAAGATAAAACGGCTTTTGATTATTTAGTGAAGGTTATTTTTGTAGCTCTTTTTACTTATCATTAAGGACATTTGTAAACATGCAATCAGTGAATACTAAAGTTTGATTTTATTTTTTTGTTTAACAAACGATATTATCTACGCTAAGAGGGTGGGGGAGTGGGCTAAGTCTCACAATGGGCTAACAATAATGTGGTTCAAATTCTCTTTTGGCGAGAATTGAATATAAGACCTCTTACATACAAGTGAAGATGAATGATACTAGATCATAGTACTAAGTGGCTTTGTTTTGATTTAAGTGAATGTTTTCTAGCATCAATACATTGTCATACTTTTTTAAAACTTAAAACTATCTTACGGAGGACCCCTTTTACAAATTTTGCACGGGCCCCCCAAAATCTCAGAGAGGGCCCTGATGGTCGGCAACCAAAATATTATTTTCTTACTCAATAGAACTTTCTTTAGGAATGTTTTTTTTTTTGGGGAAATAGAAAAAAATATGACATTTTCTTAATCTTGGAATACAAATAGAATTTTTCGAATATGCATATGGTACGCGCACTGTAACATCCCACATCGCCCAGGAGAGTGGATCATGTAAGCCTTATATGTATATTCTCATCTCTACCTAGCATGAGGCCTTTTAGGAGCTCACTGGCTTCGGGTTCCATCGGAACTTTGAAGTTAAGCGAGTTCGGGCAAGAGCATTCCTAGGATTAGTGACCCACTGGGAAGTTCTCATGTGAGTTCCTAGAAACAAAACAGTGAGGGCGTGGTCGGGGCCCAAAGCGGACAATATCGTGCTACGGTGGAGTTGAGCCCGGGATGTGGTGGGGGCCCGGGCTGAGATGTGACACGCACACCATACACAACAATTGGACAAAAATATGATTTTTTCTACAACTTAAAGTGACTTAATTGCCCTCATATATAAATGGATTATTTCCTCTCATTTTCTTATTTCTATCTCTCTACCCTTTTTCTCCCTCCCTCTTCTCTCACTTTCTCCCTCAAGCATTCTCTCTCCTGTTCTCACTATGCACACACGGTGCAGAGCCGTCCCGACAAACACTCTCCAAAATGAAGCCACCACCAATTTTATCTCATCCTCATGAGTCCAAGATACCTAAGCTTGTCAAGAATCTAATTCCCAATCATTGGGATTGAAACTCAAGCATGCCGCAAGTTTTCCGGTCATTTTTCGGCAACACGGCAATCAATCGAGGCTCGAGACCACCACCATTGGGCTCGCATCGAGGGTGGGACCAAAACCCAGTCATTAACTGCTAGTCCACATACGGTGTCTGCTAGGAACAAAGCTTTGTCTCTCTCTTTCTCCACGAACATCTTGGGCATGAGGATTAACCCACCAAAACAAGAAAACCCATTGTTGTTTACCAAGAATAAGAAAACCCATTTGTTGTTTGCTTTTTTCCTTCCAATATTTGCAGATTAGTGGGATTAAATAAGTGAGCTTTTTCATATTTGGGGAAAGGGAGGATAAACCCAGAGGTTGTATGAAGTAATAGCAAAACAAAATTTAATCAATTTCTCCTTCTTCTATATTTTGGGATTCCTTACCTTGTTTGAATGTTGTGATGGTGTTTACTAAAAATTGGTGTTTTGTTGGATGAATTTTCCAAGATATGCTCACTATATGTACACGACATGCACATGATAGGCTCACAGATCTGAGCCAACCCAAAAACCCAAAGCTCACAGCTTTTTCTTTTTTTTTTTTTAATCAGAAAAATGACTTCATCACTTGTGACGTAACCCCCATATACATTATATGCGCATCATATGTATAGTACGTACATGATATGCACAGAACTAGAGATCGAGCAACGAGTTGCTTTTCGCATTAATAAGAAACTTTAACGGCAACCTATTGGTATAGTGGATACAATTAAAACATAATTGTTTCATATATAAGGTTACAGTGGCAGTTTGAAAAGTCTTGTTACGTATATCAACTATCACTTAACCGTGCAAGTGGAAAATGTGATACTCGTTGTCGTTATTTCATGGACACGCATGACCCTTAATGTCCTCTAAGCTTTTTCTTAATTTGGTTTTTCGCCAAGGCCAACTAGGTTGTGGTCATACTCGCTAAATTATGAGGCACAACATACGTGCATCATACAAGTGAACATTCCCGCTTCTCATATTAGGATATAGTCATGCACACCATATGCACACCACATGCACATTACGAAAAAAATTTCACCAATTTATGCATTGGACACTTGAACCAGAAATTGTTCCATCCCATTTTTGTAGTACGTCAAAACTTGAAATTTATTCCACAACCCATAGGCCCCAACATGAAACACAAACCTATTTATTCCCTAAATCATTGATGAAGGAACTTGGAACTAAACACCCTGCTTTCACGTTTAACACTTCTATAACATATTATATAAAGGCATTCCATTAGCTCTTAAAAATTTGGGTTACTCATCCTTTGCTGTGAGAGCTAAGACAATTGTTTAGATGAATGGATCACGTTGAAAGAACTTTCAAGGAAAAATATCCAGAAAGAGTTGAAACTAAGTTACAGTGGGTTTGAAGAAAGCGAGAAAGAGATGTTTCTTGATATAGCGTGTTTTCATAAAGGAGACTGTGTATATTGTAAAAAGAATGTTCAGATGCTTGTGGTTTTCGTACAGTGGGAATTAGAGTTCTCAACTGATTAGCCTCATATCAATTTCAGAAAGCATGCTCATAGAAATGAATATTCTGCTGCAAGAAATGGGTAGGGAAATTGTCCATGAACAAATGCATTGAAGAGCCTCGAAAATGAAGTGGGTTGTCCACGGTCTTGATCATTCACTTTCTTAAAAAATAATACGGTAAGAGCCATAATGTCTATTTTGTACTGAAAAATAGTACGGTAAGAGCCATAATCATTCACTTTCTTAAAAAAGAAAAGTTGTGGACTCTCTGTGAAATGATAACAAGGAAATATTCATTTGTTATAAAAAGAAAGATGGCTACAAATGTAATGTCTGATTAAAGTTTGTTGTGCATATGTATATAGGGGTGTGTGGAGGGTTGTGTGGCCACACAGCCCATTTTACTTCTCACACACTCTTTGTTAATTTTTGTCCGTTGATCTTGTTCAATTCATCTGATCCAACGGTCGAAAAAAATGTGAGAGAAGTAAAAAGTGATGTGTGGATATCACGCCCTATTTATATATTATCTATTTATTGAGTTAGAATTTGGGGACACTTTTTAGGTCTTTGATATAATTTTTACCACTTACAAAAGTAGAAATAAAAACACTTAATACTTGTAAGAGTACAAAGTAGTTGTAGTAAGAATGCTCACGCAAGGTCGTTCCCACATGGATTATTTTAAAACAATTTATGTAAAAAACACATCTTAATTAATTATTTGAAAATAAAGTTTAGAAAAGTTGAT